CCGGTAATCCTGGGAAGTCGCTCTTCGATAAGCCTCGCTCGAACGAGGCCGACTGGAGGACGCGACCATCTTCCTCCCCCGCCTGACGATAAGCCGACCAGTCATGCGGAGCCACGGCGATGGAATGCAGCCGCATTAACGAACAGGCGGACTTCTGCAGAGCCGCCCGGGTCTTAGAGTATGCATACGGCCGGGGGCTCACGTACAACCCCGGCACTTCGGCAAGGACAAATCGTCGAGGCGCACGGGGGCCGGGGTGGAACAAGTACACCGCCATGCGGTCGACGTATTCCACCTCCCCTAAACTGTACGCGAACGTCCGATCACTCGGAATCTCGTCCGGTAGCTGATATGGAGCGCCGCTCCCCTCGCCCAGCAAACGTGCCAAGGCGAGCGAGGCCTCGTCGGCCAGTCCCTCCTCGTATATTGTGCGAATACGTAACAAGTCGGGACGAACTTGCGTCATCGAGAGGATGTCGCCGACGGTGATTCCGGACCGGGCGTGACGACGCCACGCATACCTCAGACGGCTGAGAGGTAGAGGCGTCGACCGCTCGAGCGGCACACCTAACCACAACGTAGTGGTTGCTGCGGCCTCTTGATCGAGGCCACCACTATCCCGAGTCGACTCGGGAAGAGCCCCAGGACGCCGACAACTCCCACAAGCCCCGTAAGAGCCCGGGACCGCCCTGTACGCCTCACTCCCGCGTACCGACGCCGATGCTTCGCGAGGCTGCTCACCCCCAACGGGGCCTGACTCGTGCCAGGCCCGCTCGACGCCTCCGACCGCGTCCCTCGGACCTCCGCGGCGAACAGCACCCTCGACGGGCGGGTCGGACTGTGGCGTGATCACGGGGGCAGCGAGGGCAACGACACCCAGCTCCGCGGACAATGTGGATTCGCGGGAGCGGCGCCCCTGTTGGAACGGAGGCAGGGACGTCGCCGCGCGTACAGTAGGCGCAGCATGATTCGGAGGACGCCCGCCTCTCGGCGCGACCTCGGCAATCGGGTACGTATTCGTGGTGGCCGGGGCGGAAGAACGGGGGTCGGTGCCACCGTCCGGCAAAGGACGGTGAATGACAGGCACCGACGTCAGCGGATCCGACATGACGGAGAGATCAATGGACGTCGCGACGAAAGCAGCGCGGAGAGGCGGTGAAACCGCCACGCGGAACGGGAACTCCAAGCGGAGGAAGCCGTCTGATCGCGGGGCCCAAGGGGAGAGGCGCAAGGCAGATAGGGAGAGACGATCGGTTAGCAAGCGCACGACCGCGCGTCGCGATGAAGAGGATAAGGACCACTGGACGCGGTCGTGAGGGCTAAGAGGAAGGCGCGTGATATCTACAAGCTCGGGCATTTCCACTCCCGTCAAGCACGTGTGGACGTGGACGTCCACGCTTGAAGGGCGGGTGGTGTAGTATAACTACCAAAAGGATTAGATTAGAAATTGGATCCGGCTCTGTAAGGTACGGACCTTACAGAGGGCCTGTACCACACGTGTAGGGGCGCACGCGCCCCCACGTGTACCATACGTGTACGACGCGTATACAGTCAGCCCTGTCCGCTGACAGTGCCGACTACTGTAGTACCGCATAGTACAGTACGTACTGTACTAAGTTACGATAGACTAATTGTATATTAAATAACGGAGCGGACCGGCGGCGGCGAAGGGGACAAGCACGGACTTGTCCACGACCTACCGCCTAGGTCTGACTGCCAGCTTATCCTAAGGAAGCTTCCGTTAGCTACCCTAAGGCGAGACCGAGCGCGGGTAGAGGACGCGCGAGCACGCGAGCGAGCCTAGATCCACCTCCGCCCGTCAGCGCTGGAACGTAACCCAGCGCTGCTCCGGGGCGTCGAGGCGTAGATCGGCCCGCGCGTGTGCGCGTCCTCCCCCCGATCCCGCTCTACCACGCTACCCGGGCCCGTGCTCCGGTTTCGTTAGCTGGTCCGACTTCCCCCGTCTTCTCGTACGTACGGGTCTTCCAGGACTAAGCATACACCCCTATCCGTTTAGGGGTGTTTATGCTACAGGATCCACTTCCACATATCTCAAATCCCAGTTGTTTTCCTCGGCATGTCCTTCCAGTGCAGATAAAGGCAAAGACCTCATGCTCCGTTGCTTTTTAGGATCATTTCAAGATAGGTCTTCGCTGAGTCGCCACACGAGACCTAGAAATGCCGATTGCATCGCCTTGATGTCTAGGTCGCTATCATTGGGGACGTGTTCTTGTAGAAACTTCTGGCGTGTGTTTAGTCTTGCGATTAATCGCAGGTTGTCGGGGTGATTCATGGCCTTGTCCGGTGCGAGATGCATACTGGCCTCTCGTCCACCGGAGGGATGCGGATTACAAACTGATGCAACGCGGACCCCATAAGCTGTGTGTGTTCGTAGTGGCGCTAAGGTAACCATGTTGGCCGTAACATTCATGTCTGTACTCGCTTTAGCAATCCCCAGAACTGCATGCCTCGTGCTGTGGTTAATGTTGTCAATCATAGCCACAGCGAAGCGATGAACCCGAATGTCTGTCAGGAACCCGTCCTTGGACTCCCCCCAAGGTTTTACCCTTTACCTCCTCATCCTCAGAGCTGTTTCCGGGTGCAAACCAATCCGCAGTGTATTCAGAATTGAACCCAAAAGTTTTGTCTCTGTCGTTATACCCGCGATAGTTGGAGCAACAGTAATTGGACCTGCAGACATGCCCTTGGTCTTAAATCTTGGCCCCACTGCGAGATCAATATTAAAGAAACTGCTAACTGTGAGATGAAAGTCGCCATCTGTAATTTGTTTCGGAGATGGTACCACATCCAAATTGTTAGAGAGAGGCCACATATTTTTCAATGGAACTCCAATCATCCTTGTCTCCGTTTGAGCGTTTTTCAACCTGCGATCGGATATTATCTTCTAAACTGTGCTCAGCCAAAGATTTAGAGGAATGGACAAGACTTATTCCGTAAGGTTGCAGGTCAATTCATTGTAAGAGAAACGTTTAACTTTAAACCTTAGCTCAACTTCTACAAACTATAAACGCTCTTCAGATATATTCACTTGTTTTAGAAGGTTTGTAGACGAGTGAACAGGGATATCTAGCTGAAGCCTTGCTTCATCCGCAGATAAAAGCAATTTATGGCCCCGCCCAGATTATCTTCTAAGAGTTATTCCACGCGTTAGGAGTACTAGGCATCAGCACAACCGAAGTGTCCGGGAATCCAGAGGGATTGTAAGAGATTGCCAACCTTGTCCCCCAACAGTGATACTGTTGTCTTTCACGGTGTTCCAGTAGACAGCCTCAACCCCTGAGAGTAACAGAGTATGAGATTCAGATTCTTTGAGAATGTATGACATTTTGTGGAATGTGTCCCGAACAGCTGGATTGGGAATAGAAGACAGCGATGGTTGGTCCAACTTTGGAGACAATTTTTGTCCTGCCTTCCTTATAAGGAAGACAGGACAAAAATTGTCTTCGATGTGTACAAAATACATACAGCTTGAGCAAAGCCTCTGCCTGACCTATGCGCCTAATCGCAATTTCCCTTCTGTAAATGTATGCAACGCCTAATCCGCTATGTATCTTTCATCTATATCTTGGGGGTTGCGAAAGTTGTAGCCTCTTCCCGTGCTTCGAGGGGCAGTTGGGAGGTAGGCAAGTGTTTTCGAGCTGGCTCTGAAGATCTACCATTATCCCTTCCATGATATGAATATGCTTGTTGCAGGCCTTCAACGTATATCTGCTCTCAGTGAGGGTCTAAATGTGAGCCACGTCCCATGCAGTCTTCTGTTGTAAAGCAGAACCAAAAAAAGATCGTTGCTCCAGCTGACAGACTCGTTCAAGAAACTGGGGATGTATGAGATATTTTCACGCACATTGCACCGCCATAAAGTTCTCACATATGTAATATTTTTGAAGGGATGGTTCATTTGTCGGGAAGTTTTCTTTCTATAATAGCCAAATACGTGCTTTCCATGATTGGTGACCCTTGAGAACTTTGGTCTTCTTCTGTTTATGTTTCTGATGAATTGTGGACATCAGGCCTCAGTCTTTTTCGCACTTCCCACACATGTCCAATATGGTACTGCGAAGGTCCATACCCAAACTTTTCAGTTCTTGTTTTGCCATTTGGGAAGGGTTCATGCACACCTCCTCATGGCCAGAAATTGCACACAGAGTTTCCATATTAATGGAAGCCCGACTGTCTATAATAGGGCCGTTTTGCTTTGTGAACTTTGTGCACCAGTTTTGCTCCGCCATAAAATAAAAAGTGGCTGCACAGCCTGTGCAATGGCGGCCGTGAGAAGAATTAGAGCTGGGGCTCTGAGTGATCTGAGGGGCATGGTGTTGCAAGGAATGGCTCGAGACAACTCCGTCGTCTGTATTTTGCGGAATCGGCGATAATAGTTTGGTTTGTAATTCTTTCATCCTTGTTTTAGCGTGGCACAGGGCGTGCCCCGAACCATTAAGTGAGGAAGAAACGAGTTCGAAGTTTTTGGCGCCGTCGAGGACGAAAATACCCTGGTGGTGGTCGAAAAGGTGACATTTGCGAAAGTGTGTGTTCAAAAAAGGCGGGACACTCGGCATCATTTTATTTGCAATTAGTATTTCGATTTCCACCTTGCTTGGCATTTGTTTCCGGACTGTTTATGTATTTCAAATGCTCTTTTCTTTTTATTTCTAACTTCACGCGTAAACGTGTACTTCACGTCCACGGAAGTATTTAAATTCTATAACTAAAATATCGGAAATAAAATTTCTGCATCGCTGTATTTCTGTTTCGCATTTTTATAAAAAAATCACTTGTTAATTTGAGAAATTCTTTATGCGTAATCCCGAAGCTGGACTGAATGGCCGCCATACGACACAGTAAGGCATGTCTTACAGAACGCTGGCATGACCGAGGCACCTTCCATACCACTTTTTTTAATTCGCATCTCTGGCTGCATCTAAATCGTTTTCGTATTACATTTAATAGTTAATGGAGGATTCCTGGAGGGCAGGTACCACATGCAGCATTCTGCTCTGCCACAAATGAATGATGCAGAGCGCAACGAAGCTGCAAGTGCAGCGAGCATTGCCGATACGGCACCTCCAAGTGTGGAGAACCACTGCGCATCAACTGACGCACCGGGTACAGACAGTACACAGAAAGACGGTCGTGTAGCACAGGGCGAGGCAAGCAAACTGCAAAAGCTTCGACGTTCAAAACTGGAATGGCTTCAGAGGCAGAAAAGTTTCGACACAGGAATGGAGGGCACGGCTTCTGCCTTGGTACGGCCGCTGTCTGTGACGACGACAGAAGAATCAGGGCCGGGTCCATCTGAAGAAGCAACTCCAAGAGCTTCACAGGACCGTGTACTCACTAACCCAGCTTCCAGAGGCTCCGCACTACAGAAGCGACCTACTCGGGAGCGGCAGCAGAAGGCGTGCCGGGCTCTAGAGAGAAAGCTCAAAGGTGCGAGAAAACGTGCCTCAAACGCAGCGGCAGAAGCTGCGAATGGTTCCCCGGCTGCCTTGAAGAGCTTGCCAAAGCTACAGAAGGCTGTCGAAAAGAGGACCCGTCAACTTCACGAGGCGCGGCATCAGAACTCGGGGGAAGAACCTGCAAATGTGAATAGTAACAGAACATCCGATGGCGACGACAAGCTCACCAGAAGGAAAGGTGCAGAAACAATGAAGTCTGAAGGCGAAGTCGTGCTTGGCAAGTCGAATGCTTCTTCGACAACCCCGCCAATTCTGCAGCCTGGTACAGCGGGGAACTCCTCTAAACGGAGTTTCCCGGGAGAGCAAGTACAGAGAACCAGAAATAGTTCTAGTCGTGCAGGTGCGAACACATCGCTATCGCTGCGTTCAGATCCACATATGGATTCAGTCACTCGGCTTACCACTCTGCACAAAGAGCTCGAGAATGCTGTCGGGTTGTGGGCCGGTGGGGTAAATAAGGGTGGTATGCAGAGGGTTCGCTTTCAACAAGATGGTGAGGAGAATGACTGGGCATTTGTTGATGATGGGGACATTAAGGACTTCAACGACCGAATCCCAGAGATGGCATTGCGGTTTCCATTTGAGCTTGATGACTTCCAGAAGCGCGCTATTTTGCACGTTGAGCAGAGGAACAGTGTTTTTGTTGCTGCCCACACAAGTGCAGGCAAGACGGTTGTTGCAGAATACGCGATTGCCCTTGCGGCGGAGCTTGGCTCTAAAGTGTTTTACACAAGCCCGATTAAGACATTGAGCAACCAAAAGCTTCGTGATTTTCGAGGGAAGTTTAAGGATGTGGGGCTTGTCACCGGCGATGTTAGCATCAACGATGATGCGCAGTGTGTCATTATGACAACAGAAATCCTGCGTTCAATGCTGTACCGGGGTGCAGACGTAATTCGCGACCTTATGTTTGTCATTTTCGACGAAGTTCAGTTCCTGAACGACGAAGAACGAGGAGTTGTTTGGGAAGAAAGCATTATCATGTTACCGCCACATGTCAGTATTATTATGCTAAGTGCAACAGTTCCGAATGCTTTAGAATTTGCTTCTTGGGTAGGAAAAACAAAAGAACGGAAAGTTGCTGTAGTTTCTTCACCGAAGAGACCCGTTCCTTTACAGCACGCATGGCTACATCGCAAGGCAGGGGATCCTAACGAAGTGACAGAAGCTGTTTTGCTTCATGAAGGCGGGTCGTTTTTGATGAACAACTACGTCGCAGCTCTGCGCAGTTGCAAAATGAAAGACAGCAGAGAACAGAAGGCAAAGAAATCAAAGTCCAAGTCTGCATCGACCAAGAAAGCGAGAATGAGTGTGGAGCAGGCCAAAGACGAGAAGACAAAGGATGGTGCGGGACAGGACCACAAGCTCACGGAGAAGGAAGCCCATGACAGTTTGCGAATTGAAGGAAACCATGTTGTGTGGGGACGAAAGGACGCCGCAGAAACAAATGGAATGAACGAAGCCACGCAGGGCGCCGAGCAAGGTGATCAGGCTGAGGAGAGAAGGACAGGGAAAATGGCAACGAAAGGGGCATATCGGAACAAAGAGAAAAGAATGGATTTGAGGAACGAAGGACAAGGCCGAAATAGGTTGCCATCCATATGGACGCCGCTGGTTCGTTTCTTGGACAAGGCAGATCGAACACCGACTGTTGTGTTTTGCTTTTCTAAGAAGAAATGTGAAGTGGCAGTGGAGTCGTTGGAACACAGCGACCTGCTACCCAACACAGCTGACAAGGCGTTTGTGCACCAGTTTTTCAACAAGTCTATCACGAGCCTTAGAGAAGAAGACCGCGCTCTGCCCCAAGTTGAGCGAGTGAGAGCCAACTTGATGAGGGGTATATCCTCACATCACGCCGGTCTCCTTCCTCTGATAAAAGAGATTACAGAGATTCTGTTTTCGAAAGGACTGGTTAAAGTCTTGTTTGCGACCGAGACTTTTGCCATGGGAGTGAACATGCCCGCAAGAACGGTGGTTTTTGCAGCAATTCGCAAGCACGATGGACGCCGTTTTCGTTACTTAGAGTCTGGGGAATATACTCAAATGTCAGGTCGCGCAGGTCGTCGTGGATTAGACGCGGTAGGTCATGTGTACCTATTTTTCCCACCGGACGAACGCTTTCCAGATGTGAACCAGTTGCGTAAGGTAATGACGGGGACCCCTATTTCTCTTGCGTCTGCGTTTCGTCTGACCTACAACATGATCTTGAATGTGCTACGAGTTGACGAAATGCGAGTAGAGGAGATAATGAAGCAATCGTTTTCCGAGGCAGGAATGGGAGATAAGGCCAAAGACATTGCTTTGGTTCTTGCCGATGCCGGGAGCGCATTGGGGAAACTGGCTCTATCTACGACGGGAAATAAACCGACTATGCAGCAAGATACCAAAGATAAGAACGGAGATGGTACTTTGCAGGTCTACGTCGCGAAATTTAGCGAGTACTACGAGCTCAGCCAAAAGATGTTTCGAGAAGCCAACTACAGGTATTTGTTTCAGCGTGCGATCGTGCCCGGTCGGCTGGTGATCGTAGAAGTTCAGCCAGGGCTGTTATCTCTGGCGACAGTGTACTCAATTCCTGGATCCACCAAAAGATCTGGATCTGCCAGAAGATCACGGAGAATCACGCAAGATTCAGCCGTTTGGGTAGCAGCACTGACAGGAGTAGCCAAGTCGCGGCACGCAGCGAATCCAAAGTCGGTGCTATTTATTCCTGAACTGCAGCCTTTGCCAGACTCGACGGTGAACCATCCACAGATATGCACGAGTGATGGCCTTGTGGTCATGTTGGTGGAGATCATTGCGTCGAAGATTCTATACATCTGCAACGAATGCGATCCGTTAATAACCACAGCACGAGTGGATGAACAGGATAGGGCGTCGACGAGGTGGTATTTTTCTCGAAAAAGGGCACATGACGAAGGGCAAAGGGTGAACAAGTGGATGTGGAATTCGGCAAAGAAGACGTTGCATGCAAACGCAGTGTATGTACAGATGGTTGTATCAAGGTGGAGACGTAAGGAGCGGTCGGCAAATGTGCAAGCCGCGGATTGCTTCCCCGTGGAGATGTTTTGCGTAGGGACTGGGAGTGGGATGGAACCCGGAGACGCAGGATATACATCGCTGGTGGAAGAGCAGGTCAATCTTCGCACGCACTTCATTGAACTAGTTACAGATCGTAGGTTTGGCAAGGCGGTGACGGCTTGTGTGAGAGAGGATGGGTCTGTGCGCAGAATTGAAAGGATGGTACTCGAAGAAAAAATCAGCAGGCAGATGAGAGCTCTCAGGACGGCGTCTGACGAGGGAAATGAGCCGAGTTTGCTTCCCGAATACCTGAAACGGAGCGAGGTGCTGCAGAAGCTGAACTACGTGGACACTGACGGGTTGGGAGTGAAGATGAAGGGACGGTGTGCATGCGAGGTCTCTACGGCGGATTCTGTGGTTCTGACAGAAATCCTTCTGGATGGGGTTTTGGATGGGCTCGAGGAATCGGAGATTTGCTCTTTGTTATCCAGCCTCGTGTGCCGAAAGAAGAACGCGAGCGGTATCCACGACGGGGACGAGAAGCGGTATTCGGAAAAGTACTGCGAGGCAAAAGACAAGATGCGGGAAATCGTGCGAAAGGTGGGAAAAGTGCAAGAAGAATGCGGTGTGGCGCTGGAGTTTGACATTGCGAACGGCGGGGACGATTACGAAGCGGCGATATGCCGGTGGGATCTTGCGCAGGCGGTGTATGAGTGGGCCAGGGGGAAGCCGTTCTTCAGCTTGATGTCGTTGACTGAGCAGCAGGAAGGGGACGTGGTGGTGTGCGTGAAGCGGCTTTGCGAATTGCTGCGGGATGCGCAGAAGGTTGCCAAGGGGATCGGCAACGAGGACCTGGAGCACGTGCTCGAGGAGGCGGTGAGCTGCATCAGACGGGACGTGATTTTCAATGGTTCGCTGTACTATGAGAGCGCGACCGGGCGGGCGGAAGGGGAGGGGGCGCCTGAGGGTGAAGGCCGAGGGTGAGGTTGAGGTTGAGGTTGGGGGGCCTGAGGGGGCGGGGGAGGGCGAGGCGGAGGAAAGAAGTGCGGTGGAGGAAGTTGGGTAGCAACGGGGACGGCCGCGGTACAAAAGGGAGTCAACCTTGGGCTGTGTATATAACAGTAAATAGTGTTAAAGCAGTGTTCAAGTATAAAAAGTAAGGCACGAATGTATGTGTGGATGCGGACTGCGTTGCGTGGTAGTGAGCAGTTGAGGATCAGAGTGAAGAGGTGATGACATGATGCTCGACGGGTTGAAAACAAAAGCACGAGGCAACAAGTACTATACAGTAGGTACCCCTCAATAGTGCACCCTCGAGCCATCAGCTATAGATACGCACTACTGACAGCGCGAACTAATAAAGGTCCATCCGCAGGTCACAGCCCACCGGCCACAAACTGCTCCGATATGAGCATCTGACGTCGCTTCTTGCACGCTTGTTGGTGATAAGTCGGTGGTCGCGGTGGTCGCCATCGGTGGTCGGGGTGTTCGGTCGTGGTCGTCAACAGCAGCGCAGCGGTGTGCATCTACATCGGCATGGCTCCACGTGCACAGGTGTACACGTGGCAAGTGTTGTGACATCGCTGAAAGGGGTGCACTTTTGGCCATGTGCACATGTGCACTATTGAGGAGACCCCTGTACGTACAGTAGAGGGCGGTGGTTGTGCATGTTGGGCGCGCGCTCGGCACGGTCAAGTCGTTCACCGCCGCGTCTCGTGATCGGTGTCGACTTGCGTTGAAGGGGGGGGGGGGGGGGCGTCATTGGGGGGTTCCCTATCGGTGGTGGGGGTGTTGGGTGGTGGTCGTCAACAGCAGGGCAGCGGTGTGCATTTACATGGGCAGGGCTCCACGTGCACAGGTGTACACGTGGCAAGTGTTGTGACATCGCTAAAAGGGGTGCACTTTTGCCCATGTGCAC